GTGACGGGTATGAGATGGTTTTATTATTTCAGTGAAACCAACGAGCTGGGACTGGTTTTGATAGACTAGCTAGTGATCATAATCTGGGTAAGTCTCGGATTCGAACCAATGAAAAGCGGGTCCTTCCTAGGCTAAGGGACGCAACTCTTGACACCTTAGAATGGTAAAGGGGATCAGGAATCGTTACTTCCTTTGAACTAAAAGAAGGATCAGCAACAGTAAATGGTTCTGTGAAATGTGAGAAGGATCCGCATTGGATTTCTGATTTGACAAGGTCAGATCATTGGCACCGATGCGAAAGAGAGAGGTTTCGTATCGCAGTAAAGAACTCGTTTTAATGAGATTGTTGGTTTGGTAAAATAACGTCTACATGTTCAGAGAGAAATATCAAGATCCAATTACAGTCCTGGTTAAGAAAAAACCCGCAATGTTTGTAGAAAATAAATGGACTCTCAAACGTGAGGACAATATAATTGTTATGGCTTATACTTAATCAATCCATAACACATTCTGTCATTCGTTCCAACGACTTATCAAGAAAGACCTTCAAAGACGATTCTGGCACTAATGGTGCAGTTTGACATGTGGAGAGATCGAATGTCAATTTTATTGTTTACCAGGAACGATTACAACATATTCGTTCGGATAACACCTGCATTTGTTGTGACATCTTCAGTATACCAGATATTGATCAGCGCGTGACATATATTGACAGCACTCAATCATCCTTATTGATCCGGTCGGGACAACGACTGGGTCAAGGGAGATAACTCTGTGGACGGTAGTTCCGTTGTTCAGCTCTTCTCTCTGTGTGGCGACATGGTGACATTGAGTTGACATTTTCAGTTTGAGTTAGGTTGTGTGTGTGAAGTGTTTACCCCCTAGTAGGAATGAGTTGCTGTAGACAGTCATATGTAAATTAGAATAGTTCGGTAGCCTTTAAAGGACTTGAAGTTGGGTTACGAAAACGCAGTGCATAATATTGCGAGTATATAACGTTAAGGGCTGAGGCATTCTAGCAACGCGATATACTGACTTTTTAACGGATCTTCAGACATTCTCAATTACACATTTTTTAATTCCAATTGGCATTTAAACATTCTTGAACATAAAGTTTACAAAAACGAGTAACATGTTTTTCTCTAGGCCGTTTATATTTGGTTTACTATGATACCCATTTCAGGATCAGCAGTCGATATCTAAACAAGACAATCCATTTTTTTCATATGCCTTTGGGACGACAAAAACTATAGTCCTCCCCTATGTTGAACATGCGGTAAGTCTCGTGTCTTCACACAAACATGTCATAATACCCAATGTCAGTGCGGCTATATTAATTTCATGGTAATAAAAAAATAACTTAGATCCAACTTCCATTCAAGTCCGATCCAACCATGCCTCAATCAATGCATGCAAGACCCCATACCTCGACCTCACACAAGAGACTTGTTGGATCAGAGGAGTGATTCATTCACGCTCAGATCATTCCTCATTCATTGGTATATGTACACGCAACGAGAGCATGTCTTAGCCTAGCTGAATGGACTTTAGCCGTGCTAGTAAGTAGGTCAGGGATAGAGTATTAAGAATGTGCACCACGTACTTATGTGAGGGATTTAGTGGTGTATGTAGGTAAACTATATGCGAACACGGACACATAATAGCATCAATCAAATTTCCGGATTGAATTTCCTTCTCGGCTGCAACTTGATGTGTGAGTGAATGTTATTTTACGCGTCAGTCAGTAATCTGACATCTATGGCATGGCGGGTGTATTTATCTTGTCTGTGCCTTGCAAGAAAGTGGTTGACAGCTTGAGCAACGATCCTTGCAGGAATAGGATGACAAACGACTAGCCAGGTCACACATTGTAATCATCCTATTCTATTTTTAGTTGCCTGTTACGACATGGTGAGGTGAGGTGATCGTCGCGTTCAAGAGGATTGCACAACTTATAAATGGCTGCTTTTACTAGTCCGGAGTAATGCCGGTTTTTTAGAGCTAGTCCATTGAAATACCAAGTCTCAGTTTAACATGAATACCCCACAGAGGATATGGGTTTGGCCAGTCCTTGTTTTATTCCCTTAATGCTGAGCGCCAGGCAGGGTAACAACATGAATCATCTTGTAACGTCTTTTGGTATGACGCGGTCGATAGAACCCCTACCTTCCGCTCTCAGGGCAGCCATTCTAGCCACTATTCATTCATCTTTAATCATGGTGTAAAAAAGTCCACTATTTTAAAAAAATGGAGGATATGTAAGGAGTGCGAATTAAGTGAATCATTTAAAAAGTATGGCCGGCTTAGTAAAAAAAGCACCGACAAATATATCGCAATATAAACGGCGCCTTCACCATGCATACCGCTGATTTAACATCGCTGTCCCAGCAGCGATAAAGGGACTGTGTAACGGCCAAACATATTGTCATTTATTGCGTGGACGGCAGTGCGCATGCACGAAATTGACTGAAGCGCCTATCAAGAAAATTGTCTGCGAGAAGATATTGCAAGCGGTTCCTGATGTCCCCAGCGATGACAGTAATGCGCTGCTTAACAGGCCGACACTAATGCTGAGTCAGCGAGATCCCCAGTCTAATGCGGAGACAGATGCAAGGTACAATCTATAATGACCGGTGGGTTATAGCACAACATGATATGGGATGAATATTCGACTTATATAACGTAGGAGTGGGTGATGGCGGAGGTCACTGACAACCGCCCCAGTGGCGATGGGATCGACTTGGAACAAATGGTTACATATTTGAATGATATGTATCGCAATGGAATAAGAACATGCATTTTGAAAATGTACATCGACATTGGAATCTAGTCTTGGGAAAATGATTATAATAAACAATCTCGGGAAAATGGACGTCTTAACGATGGAGATGTTCAACCAAGAGGGTGGTGGTGGCCAAGATGTTAAAGTGTTCGCCAGTCGCGCAGGAGACGAGGGGTTGATTCCGATTACGTACTGTTTTTTGTTTTTTTATTTCTTGCGTCTTAGTGATACTTACTTAAAAATGCATCCATTCATTTCATCCATGAATCACATCGACATAGCATGATGTCATAACGTTGTTCGAGAGTTTATAGGGTCATTGGATATACAGTTGTAGTTATGAATTTTACACAGAAATCTTCATCGGCCATGGATCTTAATTTACTAGATTAACGTGAAATATAATAGAGCTAAATTTAAACTTACAGCGAAATCAGCAAGGTACCCCGACTTTGTTAATCTCTTATTTGAAAAGTAAATTTCGTATTTAACTTAACTGATTTTAAATATCCCTACAGGTGATAACCGGTGTTGAAAGTAACGTGTTTACTAATCCATTTCTTCAACAATTTGTCAAGGTTCTTGAATGACTGATTGCGCGCTGAAGCAATAAGTTATTTAACAGTAATAGCTTTACAATTGGAAAACGATCGGTTGAAAATCAACATATTTAATTGACATAAGTTGTATAGTCATAAAGCCAATCCAGAATGTAAAATCAATTACTATTAATTATGCATTGGAACGAAATATACCATTGTACAACAGCAACGTTCACCCACGGAAAATATCATTTTTCATCGGAAAGTGACTCTCATGAAATGAATGACTGATTTCCTCTAATTGTAGTGATGTTTCGGTCTATTAATAGTCCAGCGTGGTGCGCGCGTTCTCAACACGCATCGCGTCAAGAGAGAATCTCGTGGTGAATGTATTTAGCATTGATTCGGAATCAGCTGGAGAAGTTTACCGAGGTTGCCAAGAGGCTGGTTTGGGGCAATGAGAGACGTGTTTTGATTGGTCAATTTTGTTATAGTCTTATCTAAATATCGCAGCAGATACGCTTCCGGGATTTCCAAGTAACATGCGTACATTAGGCTTGGTACGGATGACCAGTTGTGGTTGTGTCGATCCTGTTATCGTGACGCGCTGCCTGTTTACGGTAAACACCCCTGTGGGGGATTGTTGTCATTGAGGGGCATAATGGGTTGTGAAAGAGTTTGGGTTTTGTTGTCATTAAAATTAATTATACAATCGGGCTAATCATTTGTTTTCGACAATATAAACATTATTTCAATTACATGACAGATTTTAAGGGAATGCACGGGGTGTGATTTCTTTGGAACGGGTATGTGTCTGGAATGGTAAAACACCTACAGGAATCCCATCTTGTTGTGATGGTTTCATATTCAAGGCACCAGTAACAAATTTCATATCAAGAACGAAGCGTTGGAGGCGCTGCAACATGAGTTGCGCCCCTTTCCTGGGTCAGGATCCGCGTGTGATCCTTTGGCAACCTGTTCCTTGTGATCTTTGGTTTATCAGAATGGTAAACGCCCACTACTTGCTCACGCTGCATGCATGTTACCCCACGCAAGGCTGACACGCGCACTGTGTTCTAAAAGTCTATGAATTTCACTGTGTGATTTCACAACATCACAAACGTGATTTCTCCAGCGAACTTATCAATTTTGTTTGTTGTTGTTGAACACCTCACTTATATTCCAGCTATCCCAGTCTGTAAATAAGCGAGTATGGACCAGACAATCCAGTGATTGACATCATGAGCATCAATCTGCGCAGTTGGGATACAATGACATGCACCCAAAAGACAAATTCTTACATTGTTCTTCGCAAATAGATCATATCCTTCAAAAGGGAATACGCAATCACATGAATTAAATATATCACAAATGATAGATTTGTAGGGAATATATAAAATTGTAAATGACTTGCTTTTCCCATGTGACCTACAAAAGAGAAGCCCGCCTCATATCGGTGGGACTTGCAACGGTTTTATTAGGCCCCCGTCTAAACTGTTTAGACCTCTTCTCCCCTGTATTTACACTCAGGTAGTTTATTTGGTATTTGTGTAAACAAAGATGGTAGTATTGGGTCATGGTCATAGTTATCCGTAATCTGGACAGACGTTGGTCGAAATTTTGTAAATATTTAGAAGCCATTTTCAATATTTAGCAACTGAAACTAATGTGCTTACCTTAAGCTGTTCATAGTTTGTGAACACGGTCTTCAGAGATATGAAAAGAAATGTAAAACTTTGCACGCATGGGAAATTAATTATGAATCCATAATGGATGCAACAGGAACGTGTATGATATGTATACCTTTATTCCAACTACAAACCTTTAACATGGTAACCTCTTTAATCCAACCAGTTTGAAAATCGAGTTAACAGTCCCCACAATGACGCGCCAGACTATGACAGCATATTAACATTTGTATTAATCCGTGAAGTAATATATCCATAGTAACGCTTGCACGTTGTATAATTATTGAACGTATTCATTCATATCGGAATAGGCTTATCTGTACTTCAAAATACTAATATAGGACACATGGGTATATCCCCATCGTTGTTACAAAGATAACCTCAGCAGTCAAATATACAAGCGAGCTCATGATACAAAGTGTGAAATCTGGTATGATGAGAGTAGCGCAAACATCTGCCCTACTCTCAAACTGAAGTTCTTACTCTTCGCGTTTGTAATGTTGAACAAACTTGACATAATCGTCCTAATGTTCAGATTGACAGACGTGATATGTACCTGTCAGTTTTAAACTGTTACCAAACAGCGATTTTTCAAAAAGCCACCGTCTGTCCATGCTCGATGGTAATCCTATTCTAAATCGACACAAGCTCACCTCGACGAGATGAGATTACTAAGTGTCGCTCGGCGAACGCAAGCGGTATGCCAACCTTCCTCTCTTTTCGTCGATGGCTGTTTTAAAGTGTCCATCAGGCCTATAGGGGAGGGATCGTTCACATCCATGGTGGGTCAACATCTTCCTAAGTCACGAAGGGGCGGCCCACATTTTTGAAACGCACTATAGTCGTCGAAGCCGGTTTCTGAGCGAGTGGCTCTATACTACTATACGCTACTGATTTCAGTTGACTATCGTACGGGAACATGTGAGCAACGGTGCGAGAGACCGTGTTGTGTGCGTCTTGTGTATTTGACAAGATGAGGCGAGTTTTGAGTCGTCTGATCACTTTAGGTTTACTGTTGTGTGTGGTCCATGTTTGGTCCGAACGGACTTGTGGAACGGAATTCACAGACACAGCATCAAGTGCATTGTTAGCGGATATTATTGTGGAGGGTCGGGTAAGAAGGGTACCCAAAGGATCAGACATCTACAATGTGACAGTCAATGTTCGCAAGCTCAAGAAAGGTGAAAAATTACTCAACGGCGGCAAGAAGCCGAAATCAATTAGTATAGGGCCATTTGGGAAAGAAAATAAACAAGATTGTGTCGGTGAGGTTGTTGGAAAGAAAATATATTTATTTTTCCTAAGGAAACCTAACAACGGTGGAAAATATTTGGAAATATCAGCGTTGCCCGTTAAAGCTAAAAAACGGACCTCGAGAGCTATCCAGAAAATAATATGCGAGGACTGTGGTAAGTATCATTTTCATCAGTTCATTTGAGTTCGCTTTAAATACCTGACACACCTGAGTCGTGATTGCCGAGTCGGCCTACCTGTAAGGTACCTGTTGTCAAGACAGGTGTATCGCCTTGTCATGTATAATCAGCGTTGAAGTTGTCTAACATATGCCTGCCCGCTGAATAAGCAAACCACTGACTGATACGGCACAGTGTGTTAATCGCCATGCATTGTTCCTAATTGCTTCACTTTTACGTTATATTGCTACGGGTTTCAACGTTGGGACCTGGGTATATTGATTTCTAGTCTTCGAGTCTTCTCGTATATATAAATAGGCCAGTTTAAATAGCTCGCTATAAACACCCACATCCACCTCTATTTCGGTCATGTCACTATAACGGTAAATCAATGTTGTCACCATGACGAAATGGACATGGTTTTAGAAAGTCCAGGTGGTGTGTTCCGATTAAATGTTGTACATCGCTGGAAGTGATCTCCGACAGGTTGCTCTTCATCGTGTGACATTGACCTTCGTTCGATCTCACTCGGCGAGCATGTCTCACATTATGGTAGTACCCAAACACGGTAATACTGTCATCTGTAGATTAAACGTTAGAGTACAGGGATGGGGATTAAGGTTGGCGAAACTTCCGCAGGCTTCAATAGTCTATAATCGCCTTTTGGCCAAGGTGTTACCTAATCTCAGCTTATAGCCGTGTTGGTTGTTCTTTTTATTGGCGTGGGGGTGTTATATTTTCAGTATATTATGTTTGGGTAACTACCCAATGGCAAGTCAGACTCATTGACATGTAATTGTTAGGAGCAGGGTGTTACCTAATCTCAGCTTATTACCGTTTTGGTTCTTTGTATGTGGGTGGGTGGTATGTGGTTCTTTTTAGAAAATTCTGGTAGAGTACCGGTACTTCCCAATGGCAAGTCAGACATATTGTCATTATAACATATACTTATTCACGGAGCTTAATCCACCATTTAAGAATGTATTTGTAATATGAGAATGGTTTAAACAAGTATGGAAGGCTACCCCTGACATGACTCCATCATGGTATTTGACTGATAGATTTCAGTTTCATCTTGTGTCAAACCTGCCCATGGTACTGATCATTGAATACAGTGTGTAAAAGGTATTACGGAATAGGATGTCATGAGATTGTCTTTTGCAAGTTTATACAATTAACCCTAACCTGTTTTCTATGTTCTGTGAAGCACAGAATCCTCCACCTACATATAGGCCTACCTCAGGATATTGGATGTATCAGTTGGACTTAAGCAGAGATGCCAGTCATTTAACACATAAAACTGTCAGTGTGGGTGTATTGAGTGACATGAAGCTGTGACACGAAAAGATGAAATATCATTGGCTGTTGATAAACGGGTGGAATTCTAGAAATCTAATTCATACTCCCACACATCCTAGGGGCTCAGGCTAACTTGGGTAAGGCCCAGGTTGCAACCTGCGTTCGGGCTTACCTAAATCAACACTGTGATTTTAAGCAAACATGCTCACACATTCATTAGATTCACACAGAGTTGAGAGTTTAACACAAAACAGATATTTCTGGAAAATGTATACCATCAATGCTGACATCATCTATTTTATTGATAGTCGTAGATGTCCAACTGACACTATTGTGAGTGCATTATATATGGTGCTTGCATTATATTTCCATGCTAAAAGTGACACATCAGGAAAATATCACAACATGACAATGAAAAACATGTAATGTTATGAGAAAATGTACTAATGGCAAATGAGTCAGAGGATTGTCATTTCATGAACTTACGAGATACCTGAGATTAACACCGTTCAGGTAGCATGACATTAACACTGACCAGGCAGCATGACATTAACACTGGCCAGGCAGCATGACATTAACATCGACCAGGCAGCTTGACATTAACACTGGCCAGGCAGCATGACATTAACATCGACCATGTAGCATGGCATTAACACTGGCCAGGCAGCATGACATTAACACTGGCCAGGCAGCATGACATTAACATCGACCAGGCAGCTTGACATTAACACTGGCCAGGCAGCATGACATTAACATCGACCATGTAGCATGGCATTAACACTGGCCAGGCAGCATGACATTTACATCGACCATGTATCATGGCATTAACACTGACCAGGCAGTTTGACATTAACACTGACCAGGCAGCATGACATTAACACTGACCAGGCAGCATGACATTAACACTGGTCAGGCAGCATGACATTAACACTGACCAGGCACCATGACATTAACACCGACCAGGCAGCATGACATTAACACTGACCATGCAGCATGACATTAACACTGGCCAGACAGCATGACATTAACACTGACCAGGCACCATGACATTAACACTGACCAGGCACCATGACATTAACACTGACCATGCAGCATGACATTAACACTGGGCAGGCAGCATGACATTTACATCGACCAGGCAGCATGACATTAACACTGAACAGGCAGCATGACATTAACACTGACCAGGCAGCATGACATTTATATCGACCAGCTAGCATGACATTAACACCGACCAGACAGCATGACATTAACACTGACCAGGCAGCATGACATTAACACCGACCAGACAGCATGACATTAACACCGACCAGACAGCATGACATTAACACTGACCATGCAGCATGACATTTATATCGACCAGCTAGCATGACATTAACACCGACCAGACAGCATGACATTAACACTGACCAGGCAGCATGACATTAACACCGACCAGACAGCATGACATTAACACCGACCAGACAGCATGACATTAACACCGACCAGACAGCATGACATTAACACTGACCAGGCAGCATGACATTTATATCGACCAGGCAGCATGACATTAACACTGACCAGGCAGCATGACATTAACACTGACCAGACAGCATGACATTAACACTGACCAGGCAGCATGACATTTATATCGACCAGGCAGCATGACATTAACACCGACCAGACAGCATGACATTAACACTGACCAGGCAGCATGACATTTATATCGACCAGGCAGCATGACATTAACACCGACCAGGCAGCATGACATTAACTCTGACCATGCAGCATGACATTAACACTGGCCAGACAGCATGACATTAACACTGACCAGGCAGCATGACATTAACACTGACCATGCAGCATGACATTAACATCGACCATGTAGCATGGCATTAACACTGACCAGACAGCATGACATTAACATCGACCATGTAGCATGGCATTAACACTGACCATGCAGCATGACATTAACACCGACCAGACAGCATGACATTAACACTGACCAGACAGCATGACATTAACACTGACCAGACAGCATGACATTAACACTGACCAGGCAGCATGACATCAACACTGACCAGGCAGCATGACATTAACACCGACCAGACAGCATGACATTAACACTGACCAGGCAGCATGACATTAACACTGACCAGGCAGCATGACATTAACACTGACCAGGCAGCATGACATTAACACTGACCAGGCAGCATGACATTAACACTGACCAGACAGCATGACATTAACACTGACCAGGCAGCATGACATCAACACTGACCAGACAGCATGACATTAACACTGACCAGACAGCATGACATTAACACTGACCAGGCAGCATGACATCAACACCGACCAGACAGCATGACATTAACACTGACCAGGCAGCATGACATCAACACTGACCAGACAGCATGACATCAACACTGACCAGACAGCATGACATTAACACTGACCAGACAGCATGACATTAACACTGACCAGGCAGCATGACATCAACACCGACCAGACAGCATGACATTAACACTGACCAGGCAGCATGACATCAACACTGACCAGACAGCATGACATCAACACTGACCAGACAGCATGACATTAACACTGACCAGACAGCATGACATTAACACTGACCAGACAGCATGACATTAACACTGACCAGGCAGCATGACATCAACACTGACCAGGCAGCATGACATTAACACTGACCAGGCAGCATGACATTAACACTGACCAGGCAGCATGACATCAACACTGACCAGGCAGCATGACATTAACACTGACCAGGCAGCATGACATTAACACTGACCAGGCAGCATGACATTAACACTGGTCAGGCAGCATGACATTAACACTGGTCAGGCACCATGACATTAACACTGACCAGACAGCATGACATTAACACTGACCAGGCAGCATGACATTAACACTGACCAGGCAGCATGACATTAACACTGACCAGGCAGCATGACATTAACACCGACCAGACAGCATGACATTAACACTGACCAGGCAGCATGACATTAACACTGACCAGGCAGCATGACATTAACACTGACCAGGCAGCATGACATTAACACCGACCAGACAGCATGACATTAACACTGACCAGGCAGCATGACATTAACACTGACCAGACAGCATGACATTAACACCGACCAGACAGCATGACATTAACACCGACCAGACAGCATGACATTAACACTGACCAGACAGCATGACATTAACACTGACCATGCAGCATGACATTAACACCGACCAGACAGCATGACATTAACACCGACCAGACAGCATGACATTAACACTGACCAGACAGCATGACATTAACACTGACCATGCAGCATGACATTAACACTGACCATGCAGCATGACATTAACACTGACCATGCAGCATGACATTAACACTGACCATGCAGCATGACATTAACACTGACCATGCAGCATGACATTAACACTGACCAGGCAGCATGACATTAACACTGACCAGGCAGCATGACATTAACACTGACCAGGCAGCATGACATTTATATCGACCAGGCAGCATGACATTAACACTGACCAGGCAGCATGACATTAACATCGACCAGACAGCATGACATTAAGTACTCATGTCATGATTTTAAGGTACCAACGCTTTCATCCCTTAATGCATTTTTTCAAGAAGGCGCTACGACTCATGCATTGATTCCAAGACATGTTACGTTAGTCAATAACTAGAGCAG